GGAAATATTTGAAGCAATTCTCTTTTTCATTATATTCAGTAAATATTTATTAGTTTAAAGATGTGTTATTAATGCTTTCATTCATACCACTTGCCACTTTGAATTGTACCTTGTTTTAATTGTTATAGTCATTTTGAATGCCATCTTGTTTTATTTTTATTTTTTTTCAAGACAGAGACTCGCTCTGTCACCCAGGCTGGAGTGCAGTGGCACAGTCTCAGCTCACTGCAACCTCTGCCTCCTGGGTTCACGCAGTTCTCTGTCTCACCTTCCCAAGTAGCTGGGATTACAGGCACCCGCCAGCAAGCCCAAGTAATTTTTGTATTTTTAGTAGAGATAAGGTTTCACCATCTTGACCAGGCTGGTCTTGAACTCCTGACCTCATGATCCACCCATCTCAGCCTCCCAAAGTGCTGGGATTACAGGTGTAAGCCACCGCGCCTGGCCCACCACCTTGTTTTGAGTGATTTAGAACCATTCCATATTAGTAAGACCATCCAGATAAACCTTTTAAAAGGTCCAATAATAGACAAGCAGAGAGCCAAATCATGAGTGAACTCCCATTCACAGTTGCTACAAAGAGGAGAAAATACCTAGAAATATAACTTGCAAGGGACATGAAGGACCTCTTCAAGGAGAGCTACAAACCACTGCTCAAGAAAATAAGAGAGGACATAAACAAATGGAAAAAAATTCCATGCCCTTGGGTAGGAAGAATCAATATTGTGAAAATGGCCATACTGCCCAAAGTAATTTATAGATTCAATGCTATTTCCATCAAGCTACCATAGACTTTCTTTGCAGAATTAGAAAAACTTACTTTAAATTTCATATGGAAAGAAAAAAGAGCCCGTATAGCCAAGACAATCCTAAGCAAAAGAACAAAGCTGGAGGCATCACACTACCTGACTTCAAACTATACTACAAGGCTAGTAACCAAAACAGCATGGCACTGGTACTGAAACAGAGATATAGACCAATGGAACAGAACAGAGATCTCAGAAATAATACCACACATCTATAACCATCTGATCTTTGGCAAACCTGACAAAAACAAGCAATGGGGAAAGGATTCCCTATTTAATAATGGTGCTGGGAAAACTGGCTAGCTATATGCAGAAAAGAGAAACTGGGCCCCTTCCTTATACCTTATACAAAAATTAACTGAAGATGGATTAAAGACTTAAATGTAAAACCCCAAATCATAAAAACCCTAGAAGAAAACCTAGACCGTACCATTCAGGACATAGGCATGGGCAAAGATTTCATGACTAAAACACCAAAAGCAATTGCAACAAAAGCCAAAATTGACAAATGGGTTCTAATTAAAATGAAAGAGCTTCTTCACAGCAAAAGAAACTATCATCAGAGTGAACAGGCAGCCTACAGAATGGGAGAAAATTTTTGCAATCTACTCATCTGACAAAGGTCTAATATCCAGAATCTATAAGGAACATAAACAAATTTACAAAAAAAACCCCAACCCCATCAAAAAGTGGGCGAAGGATATGAACAGACACTTCTCAAAAGAAAAGAAGACATTTGTGTGACCAATAAACATATGAACAAAAGCTCAACATCACTGGTCATTAGAGAAATGCAAATCAAAACCACAATGAGATACCATCTCACTCCAGTTAGAATGGTGATTATTAAAAAATGAGGAAACAACGGATGCTGGCACAGCTGTGGAGAAATAGGAATGCTTTTACACTGTTGTTGGGATTTTAAATTAGTTCAACCATTGTAGAAAACAGTGTGGTGATTCCTCAAGGCTCTAGAACCAGAAATACGATTTGACTCATTACTGGGTATATACCCAAAGGATTATAAGTCATTCTGCTATAAAGACACATGCACACATATGTTTATTGCGGCACTGTTTACAGCAGCAAAGACTTGGAACCAACCCAAATGCCCATCAGTGATAGACTGGATAAAGAAAATGTGGCACATATACACCATGGAATACTATGCAGCCATAAAAAAGGATAAGTTCATGTCCTTTGCAGGGATATGGAGGAAACTAGAAGCCATAATTCTCAGCAAGCTAACACAGGGATAGAAAACCAAACACCACTTGTTCTCCCTCCTACGTGGGAATTGAACAATGAGAATACATGGCATGGACAAAGGGAGGGGAACACTGCACACGGGGCCTGTCAGGGGGTGGGGGTCAAGGGAAGGGAGAGCATTAGGACAAATAACTAATGGATGTGGGGCTTAAAACCTACATGATGGGTTGATTGGTGCCCCAAACCACCATGGCATGTGTATACCTGTGCCACAAACCTGCACATTCTGCATGTGTATCCCAGAACGTAGTAAAATAGAAATACAAAAAAAAAAAAAAAAAAAAAAAAAAAACCACAACATCAAGTGTAGTATAACAATAAATAAAACACTGCCCTTGCTCTCAAGAAAACTATTCTAAGACAAAAGTGATTATTGGAGCAAAATGGGGAGCAAAATGCAAGGACACCTCCCCAGACTTTTGAGGTGGAGGGGAAGTCAAGGAAACCCACTCAGAGAAAGTGACAGGTGTGAATTGAGTCCTGATGTATCCTAGATTTGGAAAAAAAAAAATTCAATCCTTATAATCCATACACAAAATTAAAGTCAAGGTGGATTAAAGAGCTAAACATAAAAGTAATAAAAGTATTAGGCCAGGCACATTGACTCACGCTTGTAATCCCAGCACTTTGGGAGGCCGAGGCAGTCAGATCACTTGAGATCAGGAGTTTGAGACCAGCCTGGTTAACATGGTGAAACCTCATCTCTACTAAAAATACAAAAATTAGCTGGGTGTGGTGGTGCACACCTGTAATCCCAGCTACTTAGGAGGCTGAGGCAGGAGAATTGCCTGAATCCGGGAGATGGAGGTTGCAGTGAGCTGAGATTGCATCACTGCACTCCAGCCTGGCGACACAGCAAGACTCCATCTCAAAAAAAAAAAAAAAAAAGTAATTACAATGTTGAAAAACAACAAAGAAACAAAGGATGCTATTGACAGAAATTTCAGTAAATTCTGGAAGAAAGAAAGAAAGTGGTTGTAAGATGGTCTGTGGAAGAGCAGAGAAAACTACCAGCCTCTCTGGGAACTGGAGCAAAGATGAGAGTCTGTCTTCCAGAGAAGAAGCAGAGACTCTGGGTTCCAAACTCAGAGGCTGCGAACGTAAGTGGTAAAAGTGGCTCATGGGCCGATTTCTGCGTGATTAATTAAAGGATGGCCTGCTGACATCTTTGGGCCAGTTGCTCTCTTCCCCTTCTGATCATATCCAGAAGACATACATAGCATTGGAGGTACCCACCTCCAGGCTGAATCCCTGAGGATTTTTCACTAAACAAACTGGAGAGTCTGCTTTGGGATGCCCTAATTTGGGTAGGAAAGCCAGAAAGAGAATAGAATCTAAGATAACTCCAGAGCTCCACCATAGCATAGAAAGAAGGAAAAAGTCAGCTCCATTCAGGAAGGAAGTACACAAAAGTCCTCCATACTCTGAGTAAAGCTCTCCTTATTTAAGCAGATCTCAGTTTTGTTGAGATATAATTCACATACCATAAATTCACCTTTTAAAAGAGAAGTCAATGGTCTTGTTTGTTTGTTTGTTTTTGAGATGGAGTCTCACTCTGTCTCCCAGGCTGGAGTGCAATGGTGCAATCTTGGCTTACTGCAAGTAATCCGCCTCCTGGGTTCAAGCGATTCTCCTGCCTCAGTCTCCTGAGTAGCTGGGATTACAGGACCGTGCCTCCATGCCCGGCTAATATTTTGTATTTTTAGTAGAAGCAGGGTTTCACCATGTTGACTAGGCTGGCTCGAACTCCTGGTCTCAGGTGATCCACCCGCCTTGACCTCCCAAAGTGCTGGGATTACAGGTGTGAGCCACCACACCCGGCAAGTCAATGGTTTTTAGTAAATTCACAGATAGGTCCAACTATCACCACAGTCAATTTTGGAACATTTTCATTGCCTCTAAAAGACACCCTATGTCCTTCAGCTGTCACCTCCGAATTCCCCAATTCTCCCAACGCCTGGCAACCACTAATCCACTTTCTGTCTCTGTAGACTTGCTACTTTGGACATTTCATATAAATGGAATCACACAGTATGTGGCCTTTTGTGTCTGATTTCTTTCGTTCAGTGTAATGTTTCCAAGGCTCATCCATGTAGCGTATATCAGTACCCTGTTCCTTTTTATGGCCAAGTAGTATTTCACTGTATGGATGTACCACATTTTTTCTGTCCGTCCATCAGTTGATGGGCATTTGAGTTGTTTCCACACAGGGCAGATTTTTAAAGCAGAGAACCCCCAGTTGGCATGCCCCATGCAACTAGCTGCCCCCAGCCTGCCATTCAGGGAAGAGAGAGGCCTGTTGGAGAAATAGGTTTGTATGATTGCAGAGGAAAACCACGCTACTTCTTCCATTAAACTCCTGCTTAATTTATAACTATGAATAGATAATTAAAGATCACTAAAATTTTTTAAAAATCATCAATCAGCATGAAACAGAAGGAGCAAGATGAAAAACAAACTTGCCCCCAAGGGAAAAACAAGTAATTCAGGAAACATGCATAAGGTAAGATGAGGCTGTGGGCAAGGAGCACAGTCTGGATTTTGCTGATTGTATTCTCTGGTGTTAGTGAACTCATTCTTCCATCCTCTGTGTTTGTAATTCTTTTCATTGCTAGTTGAACCTAGAAGCTTAGATTCAAGTTCTATTTTCTTTTTTTGGCAAAACTCATACAAAGGTAGGGGTATGTTCTACCGGGAGAAACACTGGTTGTCTCCTTTTGTGGTGTTAATAGCCATTGATACTCAATGCCTGGATTCCATTCATTCATTAAGGGCTTGTATTAATTTAAAGTAATTTCAAAGAAAAGTTAATTTTCAAAAGAAAAAAATTTTAAAACTATCTGTCCACTGGTATAGTAGATACAAATTAAAAGAACAAAGCTTATGCCAGTTCTAAAATGTTATCAACCCATTTCTCTGTTACAGCAGTTGAGCCAGTTTTGGTATAGTCAGGAGACTGCTCTGCGACTTGCACAGGAGGCAATTGCAGCTGTAGGAGAAGGTGGCAGGTGAGATTCAAATTTTGTTTCTCTTTTTGGCTTCTAATCTAATGGAATATTTTGAATGTCCTTTCTGGATGACAGATGGTTTGTAAGAAGTCTGAACTGTAATCTGCAAATATTGTAGATCATGGTTTGCAGCACATGACAGATTAAGACCTGCTTCAACACTGGGTTTAGAGACCCACTCAGAAACCTATTCATTGTGGAAGGTCTTATCTCTTTTCCTTTTAACATTTTCTGACCTGTTTCTTATCCTTATAGAGTTCAGTTCAAAAGAGAAAATCTTAATGTTTGACCATTTTGAAGTTTTAAGAATATAGGTTTTCTTTTTCGTTAATTTGGTATATATGTATGTATTTATTAATTATTTATCTTGAGATGGAGTCTCGCTCTGTCGCCCAAGCTGGAGTGCAGTGGTGCGATCTCGGCTCACTGCAACCTCCGCCTCCCGGATTCAAGCGATCTCTTGCCTCAGCCTCCAAGGAGCTGGGACTACAGGCACCCGCCACCACGCCCAGCTAATTTTTGTATTTCTAGTAGAGACGGGGTTTCACCATATTGACCAGGCTGGTCTCGAACTCCTGACCTTGTGATCCACTTGCCTTGGCCTCCCAAAGTGCTGGGATTACAGGCGTGAGCCTCCACGCCCAGCCTGGTTTTTACTTTTATCAGAACTTTGCATGCATATAAAGAGTCAAATGGTGACTGGGCGTGGTGGCTCATGCCTGAAATCCCACCACTTTGGGAGGCTGAGGCGGGCAGATCACCTGAGGTTAGGAGTTTGAGACCAGCCTGGCCAACATGGTGAAACCCCGTCTCTACTAAATACAAAATTAGCTGGGCGTGGTGGTGCATCCTGTAATCCCAGCTACTCAGGAGCCTGAGGCAGGAGAATTGCTTGAACCTGGGAGGCAGAGGTTGCAGTGTGCCAAGATCACACCACCGCACTCCAGCCTGAGAGACAGAGTAAGACTCTGTCTCACAAAAAAAAAAAAAAAAAAAAAAGCCAAAGGGTTCTAAAAGGCTTAATGTATTCTATATCCATATCCCTTATTAACCCCCGAACTCTTTGTCTAAATATCCTATCAGTAAGTTCAAACATATTTCAACTTCTTTAAAAAAAACCTGTTCCCAGGGCTCTGCCACCTGTCCCAGTCTGCATGGTCTCACGCTGGTTTTGCTCCACCTCTTTTCTTGGTATCTCCCTTCATCATCATGCTGGAGTCCTTATACCTGTCTTTCGTTCTAGATTCCCTATTTCCCGTACCCCATCCTAAGTTTACAGCCTTATCATGCTGGCGTACCTCCTCCGATAGCTGCTACAGAAAAGGCACGTAGGAGGGGAGTTTTTAGAACCTTTCATGTCTGAAAATGCTTTTTTCCTGCCCTTCCTCTTGATTGTGATGGTTTTGTTGGACAGCACATTCCAGGTTTTGAAGGCGTTGCTCCATTGTCTCCAAACTTCCATACATGCTGTTGAGAAATCCAGTAGCATTCTGATTTCTTATAGGAAACTTGCTTTTTTCTATCCATCCCCAGTATTCAGTGTGCCTCACTGTGGAGTTTTTATCTGTTGTCCTGGGTACTGGAGCGCCTTTCATCCTCAACACACATGTCCTTCCGTTTAAGAAATTATCTTACATTATTTTTTTGATTTCTTTCTCCACTTTTTTTTTCTGTTCCTCTTTTTGGAACTTCTTTGAATACTGTACCTGATCTTTTAATTTTCTTCTTTTTCTATTTATTGTCTCTTTACTTTCTGGGAGAATTCCTCAACTTTATCTTCTAAACTTTCTACTGAGTTTACCATACCTGCTACCATGCTTGGAATTGTCTGCAGCTCTGTTTTTTTGGTCTTTGGGTATTTCTTTATTATTGTGTCTTGTTCATCCTTCTGAGGATATTACAGAATTTTTTAAAGTTCTCTTTTCCCTCTATAGTCTCTGTTTACCTCAAAATGCTTTTTCTGTTTGTTAATTTCATGTGATATATTTATATAATCTGTGTTCCTTAAGTGTCTGTGGACATTGAAGGGTGGGGCACTCGAAAACTGGGAGCCTCATCTGCTTTGATCTCTACAGTTGGAGCATCTGAATGAGCCATTCTCTTAGGGAACCCCCGTGTCTAAGACTTTTCTTGTAGTTTTGTCAGTGGTCCAGGGAAGGTTCTCCTAATTCCTGACTGGAAGTTACACATCTAGTTGACATCATCCTTGGAGGCATGTGACTGAAAGGCTGGAAGTTTCATCGTCCACTGCGTTTAACTTAATCCTCCTAATTTCCACACAGCACATCATCATCCACTGTGCCTGGCATCCTCCTTCCAAGCATCCCCCCATCCAGAAAACATCCCTCCAGTTTTCTGCCACCGTCATGGGGAGGCAGGCTTTGGGATCTAGCAGATAATCCTGAGAAAGAATGCTTCTTAAAATAGGCCTTTCAGTGAAACCTCCCAGTTTTGGCCCCACTTCACCTCTGCTTCTTGAGTTACCGAGTTCTGTGGCTTCCTGAGCCCTCGTGTGTGCCACCTCGTGAACCAGGGCGCTTCTCAGCTTTCCGGGTGCCAGTGCAGGATTCAGCCATTGCAGGTCTGCTGAGCCCCACTACCCACCCATCTGCTCTTCCGCTTCCTCAGCGTGATTGCTTTAGTCTCCGCTGACACACCCCTTGGTTTTTGTTCTTGTATTCCTAAATAAGACAACATGAAATCGCACTCTTGTTTTTAGTGGGCTTTCATGAGGGAGCACATTTACGTGAATGTGTTCAGTCTGCCATCGGTAGTGGGAAATCTTCCATTTTTCTTTTCACTGTTCTTTTTCTTTTTTTGATTATATGTAGTCGTTTAGTAGGTTTTTCTTAGTGACACTGCTTTTACATGTACTTTCCTTTTTGCCACTAATACGAGGGCCTTGGAAGCAACTTTTAATCTCATCTGAAAGTCAACTTCAGTATTCATAGGAACTGAGTCATCATTTTAAAGATGAGTAGGAACTGCATTTCTTGAGTGCTTACTGTGTGCCCTCTCCTGCTGTAAGTGTGTTGTCAGGGTCATCTCATTCTATCCTCACATCTCTGTGCATTAGTTCCTGTTACACTCTCCAGTTTAAAGACAGACACTGAGACCAGAGGTTCAGCTACTTGCAGAAGGTCACCCCGTGGGAAGTGGCAAAGCTGGGCTTTCAACATAGGTTCTCTGATCCCACTGCTGCCAGGTAACCACCACCATCCCCACCAGACCCACCAGTCTTTCTGCTCTCATTCGTTCTTGCATCCTGGACCACTGTCCTACCTGAAGTACATCCTTCAGGTGGATTTCTCAGGGAACGCCTGCTGGAGGCAATTTTGTTGTCTGAAAATATCTTTATTTCACCTTCTTTATTGGAAGATGTTTTCATAGTGTGCGTATATAATCCTTGGTTGCAGTTCATTCTCTGTCAGCACAGTCAGGCTATAATCCCACTGTACTCCAGCTTCTTTTCCCCCTCCCACCGCACTGATCCAGAGCTGCCGTGCAGGGAGAGTTGTGTCCTGCCAGCAGGAACACATGTTTCCATATAAACATTATGTGATGTCACTGGTTCTGTTATCTGCTGCAGTGTCTTTGGGCTGAGAAGCCTGCTTAGCCTGGCATGGGTACCTAAGATGGGTACCTTGTCTCTGTTAAGAAATGTATCACATATTTTTAAAGCTGAGTGTAATTTTTAAATTAGGTCCTTTTTTGAATGACAATATATGCACATATAAAAATCCAAACATGACAAAGGAATTGTGAGAAAAGGTCAATCTCTTCTCCATTGTATCCACGTCCCCCAGGCACTCTCCCATGAGGCAGCCATGGTCACTGTCTCTTGGATAGAGGTCACCTGTATAACTATAAGCATATATCCCCACTCCCAGGAAAGCATACTTTACACCGTTCTGTTCCTTGAATATATCTAAGAGATCATTCCTTATCAGCAGAGAGAGGGCTGCTTCAGCCTGTTTTAAATGGCCACAGAACTTTCCATTGTAATAGGCATACCAGCTGGGCACGGTGGCTCACGCCTCCTTTGGGAGGTCAAGGCAGGCAGATGGCTTGAGCTCTGGAGTTTGAGACCAGCCTGTGTAACGTGGCAAAACTACATCTCTGCAAAAAAATATAAAAAATTAGTGGCCGGGCAGAGTGGCTCACGCCTGTAATCCCAGTACTTTGGGAGGCCGAGGCAGGTGGATCATGAAGTCAGGAATTCAAGACCAGCCTGGCCAACATGGTGAAACCCCGTCTCTACTAAAAATACAAAAATTAGCCAGGTGTGGTGGCAGGTGCCTGTAATCCCAGCTATTCGGGAGGCTGAGGCAGGAGAATCACTTGAACCTGGGAGGCAGAGGTTTCAGTGAGCCGAGGTCATGCCACTGCACTCCAGCCTGAGCAACAGAGTGAGACCCCGTCTCAAAAAAAAAAACAAAAATAGGTGTATCACAGTCAACTCAATAATTCCATGTTTAGGTTACTTCTAAGCTTTTCGGCAGTTGCTTTTATTTTTATTTTATTTATTTTGTGTTTTTGAGACAGAGTCTCACTCTGTTGCCCAGGCTGGAGTGCAGTGGCGCTATCTCGGCTCACTGCAAGCTCCACCTCCTGGGTTCACGCCATTCTCCTGCCTCGGCCTCCCGAGCAGCTGGGACTACAGATGCCCGCCACCATGCCCGGCTAATTTTTTATATTTTTAGTAGAGACGGGGTTTCGCCGTGTCAGCCAGGATGGTCTCGATCTCCTGACCTTGTGATCTGCCCGCCTGGGCCTCCCAAAGTGCTGGGATTACAGGCATGAGCCACCGCGCCCGGCCAGCAGTTGGTTTTAACAGTTAACTCTTGGAACGCTACCCATTCATAAACTGTGGGCTGCTGTAATGAGATAGATACTTTAATTTCCTTATACAATAAAGAAGCAAAGCAGAAATTCAGAACAGCTTGTCTGCAGTGAGATCGCATTTTAATGTATCTTTGTGGAGAACTGGAGTGAGCTGGGGAGCTAGTTGGCTTTATCTTTCAAGATCATGAATATTACAAAATGACTTTATAGTATTTAGTTGGGACAAAAAGTACTTAAAACAAATATCAAAGGCCTAGCATGAAAATAATAGGTAAATTTAGGCTTTGGGTTAACTTCAATCTAAATTTTGTCATAATGTGTTCCTGCTGTTTTAAATTTTGCACTATAAAAACTATAGTCTTTCATATCTCAAAGTTATAAGTTATAGGCTGGGCGCGGTGGCTCACGCCTATAATCCCAGCACTTTGGGAAGCTGAGGCAGGCACATCACCTGAGGTCAGGAGTTCAAGACCAGCCAAGCAACATGATGAAACCCCATTTCTACTAAAAATACAAAAAAATTAGCCAGGCGCAGTGGCGCGTGCTTGTAATCCCAGCTACTCGGAAGGAGTAGCAAGAGAATCGCTTGAACCCGGGAGGCAGAGGTTGCAGTGAGCCGAGATCACGCCACTTCCCTCCAGCCTTGGCAACAGAGTGAGACTCCATCTCAAAGAAAAAAATTATAAGTTACAGACTTTTAAGTACCAGATTCCTCAAAAGTGAGACACTATAAAGTTTTTTCTCAACATTGACTATTACACCAGTTTGCATTGTTTCCTGTAAGAAAATCTGAGCACTCAGACCTGTGTGTTTTTTAGTGAAGTAGTAGTTAACACCGTAATCTCTCTATTAAAGATGTTTCATGAGTGTGTTCATTTTGTCTCCTAGAATCGCATGTGTGAGTGCCCCTAGTGTTTACCAGAAACTCAGAGAGCTGTGCAGAGAAAACTTTACTGTATATATCTTTGAATATGACAAAAGATTTGCCATGTATGGAGAGGAGTTTATTTTCTATGATTACAATAATCCATTGGACTTACCCGAAAGAATTGCTGCACATAGTTTTGACATCGTAATAGCAGATCCTCCCTATCTTTCGGAGGAATGTCTCAGAAAAACATCAGAAACCATCAAGTACCTGACACGGGGCAAGATTCTGCTGTGCACAGGTAGGTGCTGCATTTCATATCTCATGAAAGTCACTGACAGTGGCTATTCAGGTCTTAAGGGTCAAGAAGAAATCCTGAGTCCACCACCTCCTGTGTGACTTGTGAACAAGTTATTTAACTCTTTGTGCCCTGGATTCCTCACCTGTAAACTAGGACTGATAATACTCTGCCATTAAGGATCCTAAAGAATTAAGTGACACAAAGTACCCAACACCGGGTCTGGTGCATGGTGACTGCTTGATGAATGCCAGCTGTTACTTTTACATACCATCATCAGTAGTAGTGGTATTTTATCCAGCCTCTACACTTTATCAAAGAGAAATTTAGAATCTATAGAGTTTAAGTGAATTGCCTAAGGTTACAGAGTAGACATTAGATTGGGTTAATGTAGAAGAGTTTTCCTACTGGTGAGATTGATATACCTTTTTTTTTCTCTCTGTAACCTCAAACCACTGGGCTAAGCAGTCCTTCCACCTCAGCCTCCCAAGTAGCTGGGACTTACAGGTGTGTGCAACCAGGCTGGATTTGATATACTTAAGGCAGATACGGTAAAATTCAATAGAGTAAATCTGAGAACTTTAAGGTGGGAGGATACCTTGGGACAAGGAATTCTAGACCAGGCTGTGCAACATAGCAAGACTCCATCTCTACAAAAATTTAAAAAATTAGGTGTGGTTATGTGGGACTCCCAGCCATTTGGGAGATAGAGGTGGTGTGTCTGGAGTGTCTTCCTTCTGGTGGGTTCTTGGTCTTACTGACTTCAAGAATGAAACCGTGGACCTCGCGGTGAGTGTTACACTTCTTAAAAGTGGCATGTCTGGTGTTTGTTCCTCATGGTGGGGTGATGCTCTCACTGATTTCAGAAATGAAGCCACAGACCCTCGTGGTGAGTGTTACAGCTCTTAAAGTTGGTGCAGACCCAAAGAGTGAGCAGCAGCAAGCTTTATTCTGAAGAGCAAAATCAAAACTTCCATACCATGGAAGGGGACAACCGCACGTAGCGCCACTGGCTGGGGTGGCCAGCTTTTACTCCCTTGTTTGTCCCTACCCACATCCTGCTGATTGGTCCATTTTACAGAGTGCTGATTGGTCCATTTTTCACAGTGCTGATTGGTGCGTTTACAATCCCTTAGCTAGACACAGAGTGCTGATTGATGTGTTTTTACAGAGTGCTGATTGGTGCATTTACAATCCTTTAGCTAGACACAGAGTGCTGATTGGTGCACTTTTACAGAGTGCGGATTGGTGCATTTACAATCCTTTAGCTAGACACAGAGTGCTGATTGGTGTGTTTTTACAGAGTGCTGATTGGTGCGTTTACAATCCTTTAGCTAGACAGAAAAGTTCTCAAGTCCCCACTAGACCCAGGAAGTCCAGCTGGCTTCACCTCTCAGTGGGATGCTTGCTTGATCTCTGGAGGTCCAGACTACAGTGAGCTGTGATGGTGCCACTACACTGTAGCCTGGGCATGGAGCAAGACTGTCTCAAAGAAAAAAAAAAAATCTGAGAACTGAAACCTTACCAACTGACCCATCTCTTTACTTCTGGGCACCTGTGGTGTCCACACCCTTGAGTGCTGTTATGGACGCTATACCCCAGTCACTCCGGGCTGCGTTTGTACCTTGGGCACCCTGCTGGGAACAGGGCTGGGCCGGGAGTGGAGCCACGGGGAGCTGTTAGATGTTCTGGAGCTGGAGTGTGGGGAGGGGCGCCCTGTTCGCACAGATGCCACGGTTGCCTGCGCGCTTATTCACTCCATTGCTTCCTTGAACTCTGTGCACCACTCTGTGTACTGGCAGGCAGCGCTCTGGACTCATGGAGTGTGCATTTTAGTTTCAGGGGATACTTTAAAATAATAATAATAAAATAGACTAAAGACTAGAAGCACTAACCCTGAGAAGAGTAACAGAGACCCAGGCACCTGCACTTTGCCCCAGGGAGCTGAGGGGTCAGGAGCCACGGCGGCAGCGGCCCGGGAGGGCAGAGTCGGGGCAGGAGGCCCCCAGTGCCTAACAGAGGGGATCGTGGGCATTGGGGTTTTCTTCGGAAGCCCGAGGCGACGGGACGCAAATTGTCTGAAGACGTAAGACGTTCGCTTTAACTTGACCGAGGTTTTGGGGCGCGTGAACCTTGGCACCGCGGGCTGTTGCTGCACCCCAGGGTGGGCGGTGGCGTCAAAGAGATACTTTGAAGATGAAGTTGAGAGAGCTTGCTGTGTTCGAGTGTGGAGGGGAAAAGAGGAGAGGAATCAGGGCTGTGGATGCCACCTCCTGCGGGGATGTCGCAGGGTAGCTGGCTGTGTGCGGTGGGCCCAGGGCAGGGAGAAATTGGGAGGAGGTGGCAAAAGGGAGTGGGAATACATTCGCACCTGTGTTTGCAAGATTGGATATTACTGAAAAAGAGTCTTGGCTCAACGTTGGGAAATGCTAGTTTTTAGTAATAATTTTTGCTTTGCATATATATGTGTGTGTTTTGCACACATATATTAAATTGCAAAAATATTGGAGAAGGTGAAACGGAATGTAAAGAAGACTCGCTCCCTCCCCCTACTTGTGAATTGTCAACTAATTGCCACCGGTGGTTCACCTAGAGCCCCTCTCACAGCTCAGGACACACTGAGCTCCGGCTGGGCTGTCACTCTCTGGATTCATTTGCTTTGTTCTCTTCAGGTGCCATCATGGAAGAACAGGCAGCAGAGCTCCTTGGAGTGAAGATGTGCACCTTTGTTCCAAAACACACCCGGAACTTGGCAAATGAGTTCCGCTGTTATGTGAATTATGATTCTGGGCTGGACTGTGGGATCTAATTACAGACGGTGACATAACCAAGGAAGGAACCCTGTCACATTCCCCTTTTTGTATTTTCCTAGTAGATTTAAAATATATACTCTCTTCCCCTCCCCCCAAACTGGAGCCGACCTTGCCTGATTTTCAAAATAAAGTACATGACCTTCATTATTGTTTCCTTAGGGAGGGCCTGGCCTCCCTAGAGCTCAGTCTTCTGCCAACCTGAATCCATGGAATTCGACTTGGAAGAAACCTTAGAACCTGCCTGATGTACACTCCTCGTTTAACATATGTAAAAACAGCAGAACAGTTGCGTGGCTTGCCCAAGGGCTCCTGAATGAGACAGGATCTTGGCCTCTGCCTTGGGCCAGAGCAGTCTGGTAGCATCCTAGGGGTTGTGAGGACCCCCACCCCCAGGTCCCACCCCAGCCCTCCAAGGACACAGACTTGCCTCCATGAAAAAAGGCAATAATCCAATAACTAGCATCTGAATGCCTCTTGGAGCTCTCCTCCTCCAGGTTCTGGGTGGGCTGCGAGGGATGACAGGTGCCCAGGTGCCCTCCCCACGTGGCTCAGACTCAGCACCCTCCCTCTGAACTGCCTGAGAAAATGAAAGACCCATTTGTAAACCAAACACCAGGACCAAAAAATGAAGCTGGGACGAGAGTGCTAGATTCTCAACTGTTCAGAAAATATGCCTCTGTGCATACCCCAGAGCACGTCTCAGCAATCAGAAGTGAACACGCAGCATGGCTGGGTCTCGAGGGCGTGATGCTGATGGAAGAGCTGCGCCGCACAGGCCACACACTGGATGTTTCTAGGTATGACATTCCAGGGAGGAGAGATTCGTGGGTGCAGGGGGAGCATCAGGATGGGGCGAAGGGGATGGGTGGCCCACAAAGGGGAGTTCTCCTTGCTGGTGGCGTGTTCTTTGTCTTGTCTGTGGTGGTGGCTTCATGAACGTGCCATGTGGCAGCATCGCATAGAACCGCACAGAGATGAGCTCGTGTGAAACTGTTGAACTTGGAATGGGGTCTGTGGGTTGAGCCAGTGTCCATTTTCTGATTGTGACACTGCACTATAATTATGTAAGATGTTACCATTAGGTAAACTCAGTGTAGGGCATGAGACCTATCAGTATATTTTTGCAATTTCCTGGGAATCTACGATCATTTCAAAATAAAAACTTTCCAAAAAATTAATGCCCTCTTTCTGGGAAAGGATTATACTTCCCCACCTGATAAGACTTGCTTTGGCCAACAAAATGTGAAAGATGGCCGGGTGCTGTGGCTGCTGTGGCTCGTGCCTGTAATCCCAGCACTTTGGGAGGCCAAGGAAGGCGGATCAGTTGAGTCCAGGAGTTCGAGACCAGCCTGGGCAACATGGAGAAACCTTGTCTCTACCAAAAATAAAAAAAAATTAAAAAATTAGCTGGGCATGGTGGCACACTTCTGTAGTCCCAGCCACTTGAGAGGCTGAGGTGGGAGGATCACCTGAGCCCAAGAGGGCGAGGCTGCCGTGAACCGTGATGCACCACTGCACTCCAGTCTGAATGACAGAGCCAGACCCTGTCTCAAAAACAAAAACAAAAAAACCCCAAAATGTGAAAGGAAGTGATGTGTCATTTCCAGCCTCTGGCTGTGAGTGGAGCAGGGCCACCGCCCACCTGCCAGGGATGCGAGGAGAACCAGGAATGAGCCTGTGTCATTGAACCATGGGCTTATTACCCACTAGAGCAAAACCCAGTCTGTCGTGACCAAGCCAGAGAGGAGGCCTGGGTCAGGGAAGCCTGGAGGACAGGCCTGGTCTTTTTTGCTGCTGCTTAGCCCTCAGCTGCCCGACTTCTGGACAACTTTTAATTTACTTTAAAAATCACTCCTTTCAGCGTGGTGACTCACACCTGAAATCCCAGCACTCTGGGAGGCCGAGGCAGGTGTATTACCTGAGGTCAGGAGTTAAAGACCAGCCTGGTCAACATGATGAAACCCCGTCTCTACTAAAAACACAAAAATTAGTTGGGCATGGTGGCGGGCGCCTGTAATCCCGTCTATTCGGGAGGCTGAGGCAGGAGAATCACTTGAACCTTGGAGGCAGAGGTTGCAGTGAGCTGAGATGGTGCCATTGCACTCCAGCCTGGGTGACGAACAAAACTCGATCTCAAAAAAAAGTCACTCTTTTTATGAGACATTGGTATTTTTATCACTGTACAGGCACCTGGCCTTTGTTAAGTATTCAGTAAGTGTTCTTTAAAAAATAACCCCTACCTTATTATTTCCATATGTAGTTTGCTGTATAATTTGTTACATTGTAGTAACAAACTATGTACAGAAATGCAATGTTTAACTTAGGAACTGTGGGAGAGTAGTAGTCTAGAAATAACAGAATTGTAGTTGTCCTATAAATCCAGCGTTTAGTTGAAGAGAAACCTTATTTTTTCACAGGAGGTGAGGGAGAGAAGGGACAAAGTTGGATTCCTATCAAAAAATGTACAAACATTGTAAGTTAGGAGGCTTATGAAATGAGGTGACGGCATTTTTTGTTTAATAAGCAGCCAACATGTTTCATGGCTTTGGACCCTGGTGTGATTTTGATTTTAGCAAATCTGTGTTCGTATATGATCCACTTCTAGGTTTCATAAAAGGCCATCTATACCTCTGCAACCTTATATTTAAAAACACTTATTAGGCCTGGTATGTTCCTTTGGGCGGTTAATTCGGTGGGAGGCGTTGGGCTGGGCGATGCCCACAGTTGTCATGCCATCTGGAATCCCCAAGGCTCCCTCACCGCCTGTACCTTAGCAAAGCACTGCAGAGGTTAAAAGGAATGTTTTTAATCCACGTTTTTTAAGTCCTTCCTGATTCGTGGGAAGGGGTAGAAGAATAATTTCTGTTTTGCTAACAAAATTCCAGCACTTCTCAGAAACTCTTCAGATGTGTGTCTGGGGTGATGAGGGCCTGAACGGCAAGAACAGATGAAAGGCAGCGGGAACTTGAAGACCCCATTTCAGATGGGGCTTCCGTACTCCTGCTTTCATTCCTTCCTAAAATCAGAGCTGGCACCAGTTACTAAAAATGACCATTTCCCCCCTTTGCCCTGCTGGAAGAGATGCGGTAAGACATAATGAGATAACTGGCCCCTGACTGTGGAACTGTTGGTATTTGCAGAGTGTTTTTGGATTTCTGTTCCCAAATGATTCCATTTTTGTAGAACAAGTATGTAATTGAAATACTGTCACTTGGAAATGATCTTCAGGAACCAGCAAAGCGCCTCCATTCCAAAGGCTGCCACAGACTCCTCCAGGTAGAATTCATGTGAAGGAAACATGCACTTTTCTGGGAGGAGGGGAAGAAGCTCAGAAATGTGCAAGATCATGTGTTGCCCCCCCACAAATCCTGGGAATGAAAGGCATGGAGGGAAATGTGTGAAATAAACCAAGTGGATCTGGGAGTAGGGAGGGAGATGTCACTGAACTTTGGCTGGCACAATTTATCTAGCCAGTAAACTTCCTTATTTGATAAAACACAATACCAACCTCCCATCTCTGCAACACCCCCCCACCAAAAAAAACCCTTCAGTTTTAGCAAGAGAAAAAAATTTTGTCCCAAAAAGATCTGGTTTTGAAACAGTACCTTCCCAAGCTTAGCTACCACCTCTAATTTCAACATATTATATTTAAAAACTGCTGCCCAGTTAAAGTTCTACATTTTGTTTTATTTCTTTATTATTTTACTTGTCAGGTTTTTTTGTTTGTTTGTTTTTTTGCTTGTTTTGTTTTGTTTTGAGACAGAATCTTGCTCTGTCACCCAGACTGGAGTGCAGTGCCACGATCTCAGCTCACTGCAACCTCTGCCTCCCCGGTTCAAGCAATTCTCCTGTCTCAGCCTCCTGAGTAGCTGGGACTACAGGCACCCACCACCGTGCCAGCTAATTTTTTTTTTTTTTTTTTT